AAGATGTGGAAGAACCAGCATGCGCCGGGCAACATGGCGGTGCTGGTCAATGCACCCACGACGGGCCTGCGTACGTTTGACGACGTGCTGGCGGCGGGCGCGAAGTAGCGCCTCCCGCGAAGCATCCCGCGACAGGCAGAGCCCGGCCGCGCCGGCGGCCGGGCTCTGCCGTCAACGCTTTTTCAATCGCGAGGGCTTAAGGGATAGGGCGCGTGGCCGCGACGCGGGCCGCGCGCCGGACGCCCGGCCGGAAGATGCCGGTGCGCGGTCCGGCCTCCCTTTTTCCTCGCCCCGCGGCGTGCGGGGCATTATGAGGGCATCATGACCTCTCGTCTCAGTCTTGCCTGTCTTGCCCTGACCGGGCTGCTCGTGGCCGCCTGCATGCCCGAGCGCAGCGTCGTGCCGCCCTACTACAAGGACATGGCGCGGGTCGACGCCGCCGTCGACGCACCGTCCGCGCAGCAGATGATTTCCAGCTACCGCCAGTCGAACGGCGCGGGATCGCTGACCATCGATCCGGCCCTGATGCGCGCCGCGCAGGCGCAGGCCGCCGCCATGGCCCGGGCCGGCGACGTGAAGGCGTCGCTGTCCGCCGGAAACGGCCTTGCCGCCCGGCTCGGGGCCGTCGGCGAAACCAACACCTATGCGGTGGAAAATGTCAGCGCCGGCTACCGGACGTTGGCCGAGGCCTTTTCCGGCTGGCGCGATTCGCCCAAGCACAACGCCGTCATGCTCGACGACAGGGCGACGCGAATGGGCATCGCCACGGCCTATGCATCGGGCTCCAAGCACAAGGTGTTCTGGTCGCTGGTGCTGGCCGCCCCGCCCACGGCCCGCTGAGGGGCGGCATCGTGCTTGAGCCTGCAGCGTCCTTTTCCGAGCTGACCGACCGCTTCCGCTGGCAGGTGCCTGCCACCTGCAACATTGCCGAGCTTGCCTGCGGCCGTTTCGCGGTGCGCGAGCCGGAGCGGATCGCGCTGCTGCACCGGCGGGCGGACGGGGAGACGGAGCGCTGGAGCTACGGCGCGCTGCAGGCGGCCTCCGGCCGCTTCGCCAATGCGCTGGCGGCCAAGGGCGTGACCCGGGGCGAGCGGGTGGCGCTGCTGCTGCCGCAAGCTCCCGAGACGCTGATCGCGCATCTTGCCATCTACCGGATGGGCGCCATCGCGGTGCCATTGGCCAGCCTCTTCGGCGCCGAGGCGCTGCGCTACCGGCTGGAGCATTCGGGCGCGGCGGCGATCGTCACCGACGCGGCCGGGCTTGCCAAGCTCGAGGCGCTGGGCGATGCCTTGCCGGAGCTGCGCCTGCGCATCGTCACGGGTGAGGTGGCGGGCGCGCTGCCGGAAGGCACGTCTGGCTTCGACGCGCTCCTTGCGGCAGCCCGCGAGGATTTCGAGACACTGGCGACCGGTCCCGACGATCCGGCGCTGATGATCTATACATCCGGCACGACCGGCCAGCCGAANNAAGGGTGCGCTGCACGGTCACCGGGTGCTGCCCGGTCACATGCCGGGCATCCAGATGTCGCAGGATTTCATGCCGCAGCCGGGCGACATCCTGTGGACGCCGGCCGACTGGGCCTGGGCCGGCGGTCTTCTCAACGCGCTGTTTCCCGCTCTCAGCCTCGGCGTGCCGGTGGTCTCCCACCGGTTCGAGAAGTTCGATCCCGAACGGGCCTTCGCCCTGATGCGGGATCACGGCGTGCGCAACGCCTTCATCCCGCCGACGGCGCTGAA